CATTGTTGCTACTTTGTTATGGCATTGTTTCTTGTCAATCTGTTGATTGTCTTTTAGCAACTAAGTAGATAGTCACTGTTTCTTTGGTTTATTTTTATTATGGTTCGTCACAGTCAGTCATATGTTTAGACTGGGTTTGGCATTTTATCCACCTATCAAGTCCTTCCCAAGAACCTGGGATAGGGAGATGTTGTTGTCTGATGGTATTAAAGGTGTTGTCAGATGATGTGAGCTGTTCCAAATAAAGCTGCCTTTTGCAACTGACTGGTGGTGATTTTACCAATGGTATTCAAGTGGTGCTCCAAATGTTTTGGGATTGTACCCAAGTTGCTTATTGCTATTGATAATTTACTTTCTTTTGCCACAGTCATTCTACATCTATTTGCAGATCCTTGTATTTTGTGATCTTCTCCAGTTCTTTCTATTCTGCTGTCTCTAGATACTGTTTTATTATTATTTTGGATTTAGCCATGGGTTTGGGTTTGCAACCATGGGTTTGGGTTTAATGTCTTCCATGAGCCCAGGCTAAAAGTCCTGTATACTACTTTATATCTTTCTTTGGAGGAAAGCTAGCTGCTACTTGAAGTCTTTTGTGGTTTCTTAATTTATGAAAGAGAATTTTTATTTAAGTGGGGTTTATTATTTCAGCACTGAAGAACTTTTAATTTTATGATTTAGCTATTGACACTATCGAAAGCCCTATATATTATTTTCTGATATGGTTAGCTACATAGCCAACTAGTCCAGGGCTTGCTGATCTGCTGTGCCAAATAATCCAGTTTGCAGAATATTATAAAAGAAAATATGGAACTATTATTAATAAATGGCAAGATATCATAAGAATAATCACAGTGGTTTGAACTCAAAATAGACATCTTTGTGAATAAATTAAGCCCTGGTAGTTTTCTAAATCTTGTTAACATATGAAGTGTGAAAAAATAGTGATGTGTACTCTCTTTCTTTCTAGGCATCTTCTTCCATGTGTCAGGACTAAGACACTGAAGTAGAATTAGGGAAACTTATCCAGCCTCAGCTCTGGAAGTTCACTGGAAGACTGAACAAGTGACTCTTTCTCAGCCCAACCTATCTTATGGATCATTATTCTAAACAAAAAACAGAAGGGATGCTATATATATTGCCTTGAGCTCTTAGAAGACAGGGGTAATAGCTGTCTAAACTAAGAGTAACTTAAAAAAAAAATAACAAAGTGACTTTCTTCACCCAACATCTAAATCTTAACATGGGTACATTTGATTTTGGCTAAACACCTTATGTGTCCCATATGAACATAACATTGAGAAGAACCATGTTTACTGCAAAATAGATTGGGTGCTTGCTTTAGAAGAGGGACCTTGAATAATGGAGAAGATTATTACAGAGTTTGAGGACTACAAGGTGAGACATTTTATGGAATCCAGTTTGCTGCCAGTTTGGGATTGCTAGGCAGATCTTCGTTAGTGTACTTGGGGTCAGTACCATTGTGAAGCAAAATGGATCTTTCAGGAGAGCAGCAGAGCTGAAGAAGTCCATTGTGAAGAAAATGGAATGCTGAAGTCATCAGCTGATGTAGGGTGGAAGGTTGGGGTTTCGGTAAGTTGTAATTTCTTGTAAGGGCTGCCCTTGGGCTGTGCTATGAACAAGTGAGGAGGCCTCTCCTCTTCAGTTTTATGAAATTGCATGGGCTTTGCCTGGGGCAGGTAGGGAGGGTCAACTTAAGTCTGATGAGGTTAGGCAAACAGAGGGACTGGTTTTGACCCCAGCCATATCTAAAAGACAGGAGAAGGGGAAGATTGCAGTCTCTTTTTGTTTGTTACATTTATTTTCTCCAGTACAATAAAATATCCCAGTTTGACTTCTATCTTTTGAATTAAAGAAGACAGAAGTATCAGTGTGTTTTCTTTTTTCAAATTATGTTGGGGGTGGGTAGGTGGGAAACTATCATAAGTAAAAGTAGATAGCCCTGCTAGAATTCTTCTTCCTGACCTGCTAGGTTTGTTCTTGTTTTATAATATGCAAAGATCTTTGTTTTGTACGATGAAGCATCCAGTCAGATGGGGTTAAAAATGGGAGAATCTACAGGGAGTTTAACAATATAACTGAAAAGTTATTGAACTCCATGACTGCTGCTATTATTAAGATTGTTGGAAGCGTTTGAAAGAGATGCTTCACAAAGAGTGAGAATACAATGAAACACTTCTCTTCAGTTTAAGCTGCTGCATTTTGAGCATGAGCCTTGCAACAGATTGAGAAATACTTTTTCAAATTTTTGCTCGGTTCTAAATTTTATGGTATCGAGTATTTCCCTTTTTAAAAAATGTTTATCCATTATTCCACTGAATAATCATTACTGATAATTTCCTAGCAGTGTAAATCAAGAATGCCCTCTTGTGTGTAGAATGAAGAATAGCATATTAATCTGACAGAAAGTAGCATGGATTGGCAGAAATGAGAGTTGAAAATAGTTCCAGAAGGGCTTTGTCTAAAACATATTTTGTGTATGTTTATGTGTGAAAGAGAATGAGTATTTTTATGTTCATGTGACTGCAAAACAGTTATTGGAGATAAAATTTCTGCACTTATATTGGAAATAAACATGAGATAAATGCATTAATTACAAGCATTTCCCATTTTACCGAGAAGACTCAAAATGCTAAAATATACCTTTGGTCCTTTTCCTAATCAAGCTATTGTTCCAAACAATAACTAATTACAGTGAACAAGACCATTAGTAAAATACATGCAATATATGCAATCAAATTGGCCTTCTTTATTTCAATATTCCATCTATTCACTAAGATCCCAAACATGAAATGTAAATTTCACGCAGAACAAAAAGATTAAAAGAGAAGTATAATTAAAAAATGCTTCTGATCAAAGAGGACACAATTTACTGTAGTTTATAGTACACTGTGTTTGTTCTCCTAGTTTCACTGCCAGACTGGCAATGGTTTACAGTTAAAGAACCTTGTTAGAAAAAAATGCTAGAGCTTACTTCTTATTTCTTGTAAGATTTCTTTTTTGTCTTTTAGTAAGAGAGGGGCTACAATTCATGATCCTTTTGTATTTTTATAGTAAAATAAGAGAATATGTTTTATACCTGAAGAACTAATGGGCATGTCTGTTGAAGTCACAATCATTCCATTGCTCAACTCGCACTATGAATTCTCCTTATGAGTATGGGTTTCATGGTTTCAGAGATAACATGTGGAAAATTTATTTTCTCAAGGTGAAAGAGTTAATGGTTGGGGTCAGTAGGTCAGATACCTACTGAAACTATATTCTTCTTTGAAAAGTGACAAAATTAGTAGACCAGAGAAAAACTCTGCATATAATTTTCCTGGACTTCAGTAAGGCATTTGATAAAGTAGGTCATAACCTGTTACTTGATAATGTATTAGACAAATCCATCATCACCAGACTGACCAATGGCACTCAGTGTGTAGTCCTTAATGGAACTGCATTTACATGGAGGGAAATATGCAGTGAGGTACCTCAAGGTTCTGCCTTAGACCCAGTACACTTCAATATCGTAATCAATGATTTAGACAAGGGAAGGAAACTCGTCAAATGTTTTAGACAAGGGGAAGGAAACTCGTCAAATTTGCAGATAACATCAAACTGGGGGAAGGGGGAATAGCCAATGCCCCATAAAATAGGTTCAAAATACAAAAAGATCGTGACAGACTTGAACAATGAGCTCTATCTAACAAAATGATTTTCATTAATGAGAGAAATAAGGTTTTACACTTAGGCAAGAAAACCCAAATGCACAGATACAGAATAGATGGTACCTGGCTCAGTAATACTAACTATGAGAAAAATCTTGGAGTCTTAATGGGCAATCACTTAAATATGAGCCAGCAGTGTGCTGCAGCCACCAAAAAAGCCAACACAGACCTGGGCTGCATTTACAGAGGGATACAATCAAAACCACATGAAGTATTAGTACCACTTTATAATGCCTTGAGAAGACCACATTTGGAATATTGTATCCAGGCTTGGTTGCCATAATACAAAAAGGTGTATCTAGAAAGAGTGCAGAGTGTAGAGAAGAGCAACAAAGACCATTAGGGGACTGGAGACTAAAACATTTGAATGGTCGCAGGAATGCGCAGGTTGTCTAGTCCTAAGAAGGACTAGGAGTGACTTGATACGGGTGTTCCAATATTTGAAGGGCTGCCACAAAGAAGAGGTGATCAACCTATTCTCCAAAGCACCTGAAGGCTAGACAAGAAACCATGAATGGAAATTAATCAAGGAGAGAACCATTCTAGAAATAAGGAGAAATTTCCTGACAGAACAATTTATCAGTGAAATGGGTTGCCTTCAGTGAAGGTTTTTAAGAAGAGATTTTGTTTGAAATGGAATAGAGTTTCCTGCTTGAACAGTGGGTTGGACAAGAAGATCTCCATGGTCCCTTCCAACTTTGTTATTCTGTTAAGTGCTATAATTTTTCTTGTGATGATGCATGGAAGGATAGATGGATATAACAGTTTTAAAAGGAACTCTTATTTGCAAGTTGGTATATATCAAGAGGAATTAATTTAGTTTTTTTTTCTGGCTCTTCATTGTTTTCATTTTTCTGTCAGTTTTTTTTCCAAATCAAAAGCTGCTTTTTTTCCTCCTCGCTCCCCTCACCTGCTTCCAATTTGCTTGCTTTTGAAATAGCTAGTTCAAAATTCCAAATATTGTTATCCATTTAAAAACATGTGTTAATGATAATTACTATTTAAGATTTTGTGTGTGTGTGAATGTTGCAAGGACAAGCCAATCATTTCTATCCAGAAAGAGAGAAGGTGGAATTATAATTGTTATTAAGGTTGGCTGATTGGTGCAATGAAATCAGTTTCCCCAGCACAAACAGACAAAACACACACAGATCGTCTCCTTCCCTTAGGCAGACAAAGGTGAAAAGATGAATAGATGCATCCAAATGTAGAGAACAATGATTATCAAAACATTTGACCTGACTGATGAAATTTAACTCATTTGATGCTTACCTTTTCCTGATGGGAAGAAGCAGTCCATTTCTACACTGCTCCGGGAATGGGAGATGCAGAGAGCACTGCTGGGGACCAGACCTTCTTGAGGTGGACTCCTTTCTGTGGTCCGCACCAGACACCAGCCTGGCCGTTCACTTGGCCTTTCGAGTAACTCCACAGTCTGTCCCACCAGAATACTCAGTTCACTGCTGTGACTGGCAACAAAGTCTTGCAGCACCACAGTTAGTTCACATCCTCCAGACAGCTATGAGGAAAGAAGAAGAAAGAGAAGCAGACTACGTTTGACTGAATATAACAATATCTTAGTGAGGTGCGGTGGCCTAGCTGTTAAGATACTGGGCTTATCGGCAAGAAGGTAGGCAGTTTGAGACCCAAGCATTATGAGATGGAGTGAGCTCCAATTCCTGCCTCAGCATCTACCAACGCAATTCCTGCCTCAGCATCTACCAACGTAACAGTCTGAATGCAAATAGATACCAGTTCAGGGGGAAGATAACAGCATTCCATATGCCTCGGCATATAGTCATATAGGAAGCTTCTTCACATAGCCCTTGGCTAGGAAATGTGGATGAGCACAATCCCCTAGAGTCAGACATGACTGGACAGGGGAAACCTTTACCTTTTTAAAACAATATCTTAGGTTATACTGAACCCTGATACCCAGCGTCCTTGCTCACTTCTTTAAAAAAAATCTTAATTTTGACTGTTTAGAGTAGGCATACACATGCAGCCTTGTGTGGTGTACCAGCCCTTTTTGAAATATAATCCATTGTGGCCAAATGCCTCTATTGTCAAGCTGGATGTGCCACCAAGGTTATGGAACCACATCTGTCTCAAACTATATGCTACCAAGTGTCCTCCAACACCTCAGGACTCACGAACACTATCAGCTCCAACTGCTATAGTCACACAGCTAGCTAACAAACAGCTGATCAGTATGCCATCTGTTATTTGTGGTTTGGAATTATTTTTAATCTACCAGACTGGCCTTTCCCTATCTAGAAGTTGTGCAGGTCTGATTCAGAATTAGAGCTAATTATGTGTAACAAATTAGTTCTATTATTCGCTGTAGCTTTTCACATTCTGTGGCTTCTAAATCCTACTTGAATAGATAATTTGTTATCAGCTATCCCTGATCTGGGCCAAATCAGAAGTAAGGAGGAATTACTATCAGGAACACCACTCTGTGGAAAACTGAATGTTGTTACTTCAAGAGATTTGAATATTCTGACTTTCATATATCATTACTAACAAGATATTTCTTTTTATCATGTGCTAAATGTCACTTAAAGTGTAGGTTGAACCATGACTCTAGTCTATTTGGATTCCAGCCAGATTAATTACACTGATATTCACCAAGTACAGGAAGTAGTTTCTAGTAGCTACAAGAAAATTCTATGGAGAATTAATTTTCATTATGACTGTAGGCAGCACTTCTAACCTCCTTGAAAGAATTCTTAGCTTTTCTTTCAGTTCAACAAGCTGTTTAGTAGCAAAGGTGTTAACGAGTAGTGTGAGTCAGAATGTCATGGTTTGCTCCTGCTAAGGAAAATAAAAAGGAGTTGTTTAGCTGATTTATTCCAATGCTGTTGAAAGTTAATTCCATGTTCCCATAGCAAATGATACCAACAATTTTAGAAACTGTTTCCCCCTTTATCAGTGATTAATTACACTGACCACCAGGAGGCACAGTGTTACTGGTTTCATCATTATTGGGAGTCTTCAGATATGGGTAGTAGGATGTTGCTTTATGGAATTGAGCTGACATAAATTTGCACTTTAGATGACTATATATATGGCATCAACTTTAGGAATTATCCATGTCCTGGCAGTTTCAGGAAGAGATTTCTAGAAGGAGGCCTGATAGTTTCTATCAATAATTCTTCATTATGGCATCATATAGTGCATATTATTAGTTATTTTGTACTAAAGTCCACAATCAGTTGCTGAGAAGTTCTGTTTCCTTTATGCCTGCTTCTGGTCTTCTGTAAAAGGCATAAGGCAGTGATAGCGAACCTTTTAGAGACTGAGTACCCAAACTGCAACCCAAAAACCACTTATGTATCGTCAGGTGCCCAGTGGGCATAGCCCATTGGGTGGGCGTGGCTGCAGTGGTAATGGCAGACTGGGTGGGACTAAAAAGTTCAATCAATCAATTCCAATTTTGCAAGATCTTTTTTTTTCCCCACGAGAAGCTGAAATTGATTGATTGATTGAACCTTTTTTTTTTTTTTTGCACATGGTGGTGGAGACCTAAAGCGAAAAGGTTTTATAAAACCCAGCTGAAGGCCTAGGACTGGGGTGACGGCACGCGTACTCATAGAGAGGGCTCTGCGTGCCATAGGTTCGTCACCACGGGCATAGGGAATGGCCTTGAAAGACCAAAGGAAGAGCTGTTACCAATGCAACAATCAGATGTGGCTTGAGCCTACACCAAGAAGTTAATTTGAGTAAAAGTCTCAGACTCCCCTCCCCTAATTCACACAAAGACAAAGGCAGGGAACAGGGAAAAGATATTCAGACTTGCAAAATTCTGCTACTATAGCTGTTAAAATAAATTGGGTTTTTTTAGTCTGGTCTACTTTATACTGCTGGTAGCTTCTCAGACATGATTGGTTCACCATTGGCTATGCTAGACATATACTGAGTGCGGGGGAATTTACTCCTAGGTAATCACTGTGGTAAGTCATATTGGACTACATACTTATTTACTGATCATATTTATATAGCCACCCATCTCACGTAGCACAACTCTGGATGGTGTACACGCAGCCATAAAAAGTCAATTTCAAAACATTTCAAAAAGTACCAAAAATTTAATATCATTATAAAAGGCTAAGAGAGAGCATCGGATTATATACAGTGGAGCCACCTAATCAAATTAGCATTCCCTTATGAGCCCCAGACCTATGGACACAATCAAGTTTGAATGGCTCTCCGGAAGGTTAGGAGAGATAGGGCCACTCTCACATCAGGGAGAATGATGTTCCATAGGGTGGGTGCCATGGCAGAATAGGCTCGTCTCCTGGGTCCTGTCAAACATTGGGGAAATCAGGAGATTCAGGCAGTTCAAATCAGCATGAAGATTTATTGCAAGCTTAAACTCTCTATAAGAATCTGACTAATGGTCAAGAGAAATGAGCGGGAGATAAGAGAGACATTCAAGGTGAGCCGGACTTAGATTTCTTGCGAGAGCACAGAGACTCGTGACTTATGACATGTTTGACCCCTCCCTCGGGCTCAGTCTGGTCGTCTCCTACAGTTTCTGTCAGATATAACTCCTTAGAGACATGATGTGCAGATGGGGCAGGCGATGTAATTGGAAAGAGATGGTCCCTCAAATAAATGCAGCTCCATGCCACAAAGGGCATAAAGATAAAAATCAGCAAGTTGATGTTGTCTGCCAAGTGTGAATTTTTCATAGGCTTTCATAATTTTATGATAAAAGCACAGACTATGATGACAGTGAAAAATTAACATTACATGAGTAAATGTTCGTTACCTATGCACATCCGTTACCGTTTATTCATTTTCCTTAACATCCTTTCCCAGGGCAACTACATATCTACAGTATGTTCAATAAAAGGAGTTAATGTTAACATGTAACTGAGCAAAAACAAACAAGAAAAAAATGTGCAGTGATGGATATGATGGATAGGAAATAGCTAATAACATTGCTGGTATTGTAAAATGTAATAAGTTTTCCAGCTAACACTAACATCAAATGCTATTAACAATGGACAACAAAAATGGCCTTTCAAAAATAGGCTATGGCAGCTTTTCCCAACCTGAATACTTTCTAGCTATGTGGGCTTCAACCTCCAGAATTTTCACCAAAGACCTTACTAGCTGGGGAATGGAAATCCATATTTCTGGAACTTCTGAAAGATTAGTCTTAATAACAAAAGTGGGGGTGCTAGAGCAAAGCTTTTCTGCCAAATTTTCTACCCTTTTGTAAACATTCATTTAGTGACCATTCAGTTTTAAAGGCAGTGCAAAAAGTGACTTATAGCCTATTTTGACTTATAACCGTTACAGCATTCCCATGGTCACATGATCAAAATTCGCTTGGCAACTGGCATGTATTCATGACAGTTGCACTGTCCTGTGGTCATATGATTACTATTTGTAATCTTCCCAGCTGCCTCCCAACAAATATAGTCTATAGGGGGAGCCAGACTCATTTAATGACTGCATGATTCACTTAACAATTGCAGTGATTCACTTAACTGTGGGAAAATTATAAAATGGGACAAAACTCACTTAACAACTCTTGCTTAACAACAGAAATTTTGGGCTCAATTGTGGTTCTAAGTTGAGCACTACCTGTATTTATTCATGTATGGAGTAAATTATTACAGCTTAAAAAAAAGCTATTAGATTTGCATGTATCCTGCAGTAAGCAAGACTAGAAAAAGGGAAAGTCTTTTGCAGATCTGGATTCAATGATAGGAACTACTATAGTAAAAGCTGTTGTATTTAGTGTAAGCTATTGTGCTTGAAAATGCTTACTATTACCACTGAAAATAAATGCAAAACATTACCCAATTATGTCACAACTACCCAAATAACTATATCTGGTTAGTATTAGCTTTTTCATGCTCTGTGTTAATATGTCCTGCATAAGTAATCTGTGGGAATGCTAAACAACATTGTGAAGATGGTTGCATAAATAAGAACCATGTTTCCTTTTGCATACACCCAATGTAGTTTATTCTTCTATTTATCACTCACTGAAATTGTTATAGGCAGTGATAAAACCTAGATAAAGTATAGAATATATGAAAAATCTCATTCACTAAATATTGCCTAAATCTGTGAAAACATAATTCCTACACACTTAACAAGTAACTCCCCAGTCTAATTAAAACAAAATATTTCCTGAATACCAGGACAAACTTTCATTTTTTGTTAAAATTGCCAGTATTATTTAGCAGAGTCATATAACTGAGAGAAAGGGAACAGGGGAGACCAGGGACGTCCACAAATGGTAAAAAGACTATTCCATATCTAAACAAGAAGATCAGATAAGTGTCTATTGAGAAAGATTATATTTTCTATCCCATTTAGATGGAAGCAGGAAAAGCAAAAGAAACTTAACCATCAAACATGTGGGAAGACTGTCAAAAGCCCTTTGCTTTCCTTGAGTGAAAGAAAAAAAACGACAAAAATTCTGGATAAACAATGAATACTAATTCTTTACCTGATTTAGTGGGATACGTTAATAATAACTTCAGATAAATT